TTACAAAATAGTGCTGCTATGAATAATCTTGTTCATCCATCATTTTGGACATTAACAAATGTCTTAAGTCAGATTCCCTGGAGGTGGAGCTGGGACATGGATTCGGGGGTGTGTGTGTGTGTGTGTGTGTGTGTGAGCGAGAGAGATTTATTGGGGGATCGCCAAGGGAGAGAGAGAAGCAGAATGGGAGGTGCAAAGAGCCAAGCAAGGACTGGTCCCAGGGAAATCAAGCCTAAGGCCTGATTGAGGGTGGAGCTTGCAGAGTTGTCCCACCTTGGGGCAAGGGGCAGAGTCTTGAACTTCCCATTGGTTGCAACCACTGGGTTGCAACCCAGTGGTTGCATCCACCTGGAGCAAGACTAGGAAGAAGCCAGTGGAAGGTGTCCCAGCTGCAAAGGGGACCTGGGAAGGGCAGCAGCAGTGCCTTGCATGGCAGGTTTAATCTGCAACATGGCCTTGGAGGTGGAGAGGCAGCAGCAAAGCACAGGTGCATTGCAGTGTGGCTAGACATTGCCAAATTGCTCTCCATAAGGGCTCTATCAATTTACTTTCCTTCCAGCAGCATTAGAGTGCCCGGTTCAGCACAATCCTGCCACATTAGTCTATTATTAAACTTTTGAATTTTTGCTAATCTAATGGATTAAAAATGCTATCTCAGAGTCATTTTTACTTGCAGGTTCTCTTAGAATGAGCATACTGTCATGGGTTTAAGAAACATTTATAATTTTTTCCCCCCCGTGAACTATTCATATTCCTTTGCTGATTTTTCTTTTAGGGCTATTGGTCTGTCTTTTCCATCTCTAGGAGCTCCATATATATTCTGGAGATTGGTCCTTTGTGATAGGAGCTGTATGTATTTTTCTGTTTTGCCATTGTCTTTTTACTTTAAGGGTTTTGGCCACGCAGATGTTTTTATCATAGGGCTGTTTGGACAAGTAAGTGATATATTATGTAAAACACCTGGAATGATGCCTGCTAGCCTGTAGGCACTGACTGGATGTTATTTCCTTTCCTTCTCCTCCCCCCTGCCCCCCATTCTATGCTTAATCTAACCATGCTCATTATTCTCCTTTAAATATGGCCCATGCTTCCCTCCTCCATCGATTTTCTTGTTATTTTTCTTTTCTGGAATGTCTTCCTCTTCTTGTTGGACGGTGAAAATCCTACCCATCTCTTAAGCCCCAGCTCAAATGTCACAATCTTTCTTAAGTCTGAATCCCTGTACCTCTGTTAGCCACCGCAGTCCACCTTGGATCCTGGTATTTGCACGCATTTCCCATGCTTTTCCTGAACCTCAGTTTCTTTATCTATAAAATGGAGCTGCTGTGGGAAATAGATATTTATTTTTATGACAAAACGATGCATGTTTACTGTAAAAAAAGTCCAAAGTTTTTATTGAAAAAAATGCCAAAAATACAGAAACAGGAGTATCCACTGTTTACAGATCCTTCCAGATCTTTCCTATCCCTGTATAAATAGCTATGAGGGGGGTGAGAGGGAAGTTTTTCTTAAGACACAAACCTGGAAGGATATCATCCATATTATTCTGCAACTTACTTGCATCATTCAATAAAATAATGTGGATGAGATGATGCATTTAAAGCACCTGGCTCAGTGCTCAGTGTGGTAGCTCTGACTACTCCGTGCACCTTATAGTGATGTTTTTAAACTTTCTTTTAGCAGCAGAAGCCTTTTCAATCGAAATGGTATTTGGAACCCCAATTTATAAATTAGATGGAGTGGAGCCTCCAAGCTCAGGTGCACTTGGATGGGGTGGAAGGCATAGAGGCTCTCATCCATTTGTCTCCCCATTGGTTTGGAAAATCTCAGTATTAAATATCTTTTAAGGGTGGTGTGATGTGGGCACCCCACAGTTAACTGAGTGGCATCCTGGTATGCCATGCCTTCGTGAGTATGCACTGTCCAGGCAATTTTTCACTGGGTCTGAAGATCCCAGCCAGCAAGGACAGGACGTCTTCTTCCCAAATTGGCTGAATGTCCTTAGACTAGAGCAGACCTGGTGGATGTGTAGCCCAGTGGCTTCCCCTTGGCTTGGTGCTAGCTTGTCATGAATTTTTTATTGGTCCAGGAAGAAATGAAGAAAATAAGTAAAGTCAATATGGTAAGGTTTCCATAAGGTTAAAGCTTTATTCATAGATGTTTCTTTTGGCATTGCAATGTCTTTTCTTTCATGGAATTATGGCAGTAATAATTGGTAGGGGTGTGTGTGTGTGTGTGTGTGTGTCTTCCCTAAATTTAAAAATTGACAACTTTATGTTGTTCCTCTACATTTGTTTCAAAGTTTTACTGATCCATGAGATCCTAAAGTCTAGAGGCAGCTGTTTTGGTTCATTGTGGCTGCTTTGCCAGGACTTCCCTGGAACAGTCCCAGAGAGATAGCAAATTCTATTCTTGTGCCAGGAGAGTCTGAGAACCGCTATCCTTTGATGAAATCAAAGCAGCTCTTCCAAGGCTGAGTGGACACAACCTCTCCCAAAGGGCTGTGGTCCAAGAAAGTCACCTTCTCAGTGAACCTCTAGCCTGCCTCTGTTGCCACCACGCTTGTCCTTAAGGGGACACTGCTTCATTAGACCACGCTGAGCAGAACATGGTGCCACAGCCTTTTCTTGATGTCCCATAACCTGAGACTAGTATGGGGCATACAAACAGGTTTTGCTAAAGGCGTGGGATTCACTTAAGAGAAAGGAGTGCAAAGATAACACAAAGCTGGCCACCGAGCTTACAGATTCTCGCAGCTCACCGTCTACACCCCGTCCTAGTTGCCTGTGGTCTTCTAAGTGCTGATGGCACAAGCGACCAACCAGAGATGACCAAGAGACTCGCACCGCTGTTCACACTGTGGGCCTCAGTGCCTCCCTCCAACGACTAAGCTGGGGCTTATTAAGGGAGATGGCAATTTCCTTATAGGGGTACTTTCGGTGGAGGAGGTAGAAACTATCAAAGAACCAAGGGCTTCCTCCTTTATTCTGCTGTGAACCTCCCAGACTAGGCAGAACTTTTTGATTTCTGTCATTTAACCTCAAATCCCCATCACAGTAGTAGATGACAATGGCTTGGGTTCAGGAGGCTCTGGTTGTTAAAATTTGTGTGAACACCAGATTGGGCACTTGGCCCTTTACATATAAGGATGTGTGGATAGTATAACAAAGTATTTTGGGGAGTCTTTTATCCCCCTTAGATAAAGAAGAATTTTCAGAGGCATGTCTAAAGTGTATCTAGCACTTCTTTTTTGTGGTTGTTCATGTGATTTTAAATATGGGGCATATTTGTTGACTTGTGACCATTTGTTTATATTTGCAAAGCAACCATGTGGCCTCACTGTTTCTCTTAGCCCTCCCTACGGCCCCATGAGGTGGTATCACTATTCCTATTTTACTAATGAGGAATCTGAGGCTCAGAGGAACTAAGTGACTTGCTCAAGTCCATTCTTCTAGAAGAGGAAGAACTGAAACCTGCCTGGCCTAATCGTCATTCTCTCCTCGGCACAGCCAGGTCCTGTCTACAACTAGGGAAGGCATGAGTTTCTTTGTTGGTGGTGGTATTTTTCTTCTCTGCAACATTAACCACTAGCCTTAAAATTTGGACTCAGGAATCTTGGGGCCATTAGCATTGAGTTCCATTAGAGAAACAAGGGACAGCAAAGATAAGACTGTCAACAAATCACCAAGAAAGAATCCTTTGAGTTCCTACCTTGACCAGATTGGGGATCTCTTTGTTGGTCAAGTTCAAAACAGTGAAGAACTGGGCAGGACATGAGCTACTCCATTCATCTTTCTAGGGTGCTCTGTGATGCTCTGTGCTGACAGTGCGGAGCCAGCATGGGATTCTCTCTCTCTCTCCCCTCCCACCCACCTCTCTCCCTCTATCTTTCCCCCACCCCCCACCCCGCTCACTTGAGCCCTCTCTTTCAAAAATAACTAGCTAAATAAATGTTTCATAAAAAATTAAAAACAATCTCAGTAATTGTGTCTAAATAAATTGTGATTTGTCTTCTGATAGACTATCGTGTAGTAATTGCGATGATAAAATATGAAAACTGAAGTTGTATAAAGTGTGATCTAATGTTAAGTGAAAAAAAAAAAGAACTCAAGGTGCACCTACAGGTGATGACAATAGGGTAAGAACATAGATTTGAGAAAAGGTTTAAAGAAAACATGCAGAGCCGACTGGGTGGCTCAGTTGGTTAAGTGTCTGACTTTGGCTCAGGTCATGATCTCGTGGTTCGTGAGTTCGAGCCCTGCATTGGGCTCTGTGCTGACAGTTCAGAGCCTGGAGCCTGCTTCAGATTCTGTGTCTCCCCCTCTCTCTTCCCCTCTCCCACGCATGCTCTCTCTTTCTCTCAAAAATAAATAAAAACATTAGAAAGAAAGGAAATGTGCATAGTATTTGCAGGGTGGGGCTCGGGGGGTGAAGAATTAAGTTTTTTTCTCCTTGAATACTGTTATATTGTTTGTACAATGAAAATAAATGAGAGGGATATTCTAGGCTCTGCCCTGAATCAATCTATGAATAAGCATTTGCTGGGCACCCAGTCCACAGGTAATTTGTGTTGAGGGGTGAATTATGAAGTAGCAGGGAGTAGGCACAGGACTCGGTTTGGGGGCAGAGGTTGGTCCCTAAGAGTCTCAAAGACTCTCAGAATGTCAGAGCCACAGGAGACCAGTCTAACATCTTCATTTTTTGTTGAGGGCCCTGAGGCTCAGAGAGACTCTGACTAACCCAGAATAACCCAGCGAAAGCCTGGCTACTCCTCATAGGGATAGGCACTCCCATGGAACAAACTGACGGCCCTTCCCTCACTCCCCCTACCTCAGGGTGCCTCCATGTCCCTGAGTCACTGCACAGGGGTGGAGAGAAGGTGGCCAAATAGAGAGCAGTTTTCTAGGACAGAGACGGGGGTGGGCGGCCCCGAGAGGGGACAGAGATACAGGGACGCTGCTTCTCGGCGGTAAACCCCTGTACCGTGATTATCTCCACAGGACCCTGAGTGGGCTCAGCCAGACCCAGCCCTCCCAGCAGCACATGGGGTTGTCCCGGACGGTCCGGCTTTACCCAACCACCGCAGCCAGCGGTCAGCTCACCTCCAATGCCCTGCCCGCAGGGCTGGGCCTTGAGCGGAGGGATGGCACGCAGCAGGCAGCGTATCTGGACCACCCATCATTCCCCTGGGGTAAGGATGCCCCGTCTCGGGGTCCTAGAAGAGCAGGGCATCTAAATTTCTGACCTTCCCCTCCCCTCTCACAGAGGGGCTGAGCTTCACCTTGTCCCTCATCTTCTCAGCCAGTCAACGAGCAGTTGTCAGATGCCTGCTTTGTGCCATGCCCCAAGGGTCCCCGAACCAGCTGATCGGAGACCCTGCCTTGTCACATGTCCTGCCTTTGCTTCCTTCATATCCAGCCATGAACCTCACCTCCCTGGCCCTGTTCCTTCCACCTCATCCTTCCTGCAATCGGCAACCCTCCTGGACCAAGTTGACCGGCTGCTTTCTTAGCACCCACAGCTGGGCCTCTGCTTTCTAGAGGAGACACCTGACCACCCCTGCAGATTCAGGCCTTGGCATATTCTGGTCATTGCCCAACAGTCCTTCCCTGTGTGTCTGCTCTCTCTCTCTCTCTCTCTCTCTCTCATCCCTCAAAGCAGCTACTCCAAGCTGCCCCCCACTTTCCCAAGTGCCATCCCATCAGCACATTGACACCATGCCCCACCTTGAAGAGCTCCTCACCTTCCTGCCCACCTGGCCCAGCATGTGACCATGGACGCCACACCCTTGCCTGCACCTGTGCCTGAGCTGACCTCCTTTCTTTTTTTTCCATTTTAAAAGTCGAGGTGAAATTCACATAAAATGAACCATTTTAAAGCCTACATGTCAGTGGTTTTTAGTGGATTCATAACTCTGTGCAGCCACCACCACTATCTAATTCCAGAACACTGTCATCACTCCAAAAAGAAATCGCATGCCCATTAAGCCTCTTTCGCCCTCCCCCAAGCTCTGGGCCCCACTATTCTTTATCTCTACGGATTTGCTTATCTTGGACATGTCATAAACAGAGCCCATCCAATACTTGGCCCTTGGTGTCTGCTATAACTTAGTGTAATGTTCTCGAGGTTTATCCCTGTCAGTCCTCAATCCTTTTTTTAGTCCATGACCGCCTTTCTTGCCATCTTGGAAAGTGGGGAGTCCGCCTTCTTGATTCCTCTAGAATGTTAGACCATCCCTTGCACTCTTCTCCCCGCCCCCCCCTCCGCCCACTGTTTCTCTTCCCTCTTCACACCATCTCCTCTACTAGCCCCTTCCCATCAGCAAATACACTTGGTCAGCTCCCTACGCTCACACACATGCATGACCACAAACACCCACAGAACTATTTCTCCACTTCCCTTGGGCTTCCTCTCTCTCTCTCCTTTCACGGGCTGGCTTCTTGAACACATGGTCTACATAGACTTTTTAAATGTCCCTCCTCAACCCTTCTCCCTCTGGCTTCCCTCCCTGGGCTCCCCATCCTGAATGAACACCCCTCCTCTATATTTCCACTGCTGCCACCTGTGTTACAGAGCCAGCTGGAATGGCCAAAGTGACCTCCAACTGGTCACCCTACCTCCTCTTCCACCTGAACACTCTGGCTGGGAGGACACTAGCTCCCCACACTTCCCCCTTTGATCTTTTATCAAAAACTTTCAAAGGCTTCCCACTACCAACCAAGTAAATCGCCCATCCTTGTTCTGGGAACCAGGGTGCCCCACAACCTGACTCTAATATTTCTTGTAGGCTCTATCTTCCTCCACTTCTCTTAGAGAACTCTGCTTGGGCAAGTCTGAGCTACAGTCCTTTCTTTCTGCCTGCTGATTCAAAGCCCATCAGCAGCACTTGCTAGCTGTGTGATTTGGGACAACCCAACCTTCTCTGGGCCTCTGTTTCCACATCTGTAAAATAGAAATATTCGATTAGGAACACTGCCAATATTCAGCCGTTTTAACCTACAAAAATGGTAATTTCTAGTGGATCAACCTAAAATAACACTCCCCCAAGAGGGATAAGAGTTAATCTGCATAAGGCATGAACTTAATGGTTGGCCCTGTGGCATCCCTCAACGGCCTTTGGACTGTGAGCCCCTCAAAGATATTACCCTGCCCCCACTATGGGACCTTTATTCCAGTAAGTATTTAGCAAATGCCCTTGGGATGGATTCCCCCTTAACCCCATGGGCCTTTCTGACCAGCCTCTGGAGGTCACAGCTGTGCCTCTCAGCCCTGCCCCCTGGACCCAAGCCCTCTCTCTGCAGGGCTGAACCTCACTGAGAAAATCAAGAAGATCAAGATCATCTTCACTCCCACCATCTGCAAGCAGACTTGTGCCCATGGACGCTGTTCCAACAGCTGTGAACGTGGCGACACCACCACCCTGTATAGCCAGGGTGGCCATGGGCATGACCCCAAGTCTGGCTTCCGAATCTGTGAGTCCTTTCCCCCTGAGATGGTTCCTAGGCCTGGTGGGGCGGGGGGGGGGGGGGGGGGGGGGGGGGGGGAGGCAGGGTGGCCAGAGAGACAGGCTTGCCTTGGGCAGGAGCCCAGACCTCCTGCAGGAAGGAAGCCCCCACTGCTTTCATACTGTGGCTTCTGTGAGTTGTCTCCACTTACACAGAGAGCTGAGTCACCCAGCTCTGTCACAGCCTGGCTGTGTGACTCTAGGCAAGTCACATAACCTTCCTGAGTCCATGTTTCCTCCCTAAAGAAGCGAGGAAGTTAGTAGTGCCACTGCTACTGTCCCCCAGGTCACAGTGGGGTCCAGGCAAGGCATGAAAGGGCTCTTCAGGAAAGCAAAGGCTGGTTTTATTGTCTAGCCTTCTTCATTCCCACCCTCCTGGAAATTTCCTGCATTTCAGGGTGTGCTGGACCCCCCAAGCCACCCAGATTTGCATTGCTACTCTCCCTGCTAACCTGTGCTCGCCCGCTGGCCATATGGTGGGTGCTGCCGTGTCCTTCTATCAGCAGTCACCTTGAGGTCAATGTCATAGATTTCTGCCAGATTCCCTGCCTGAACGGAGGCCGCTGCATCGGCAGGGATGAGTGCTGGTGCCCTACCAACTCCACCGGGAAGTTCTGCCACCTGCCGGTCCCGAATCTGGACGGGGGGCATCCCCAGAGGGGCTCCCGCCACAGGGCCCTGCTGGAAGGCCCCTTGAGGCAGTCCACCTTCACATTGCCTCTCTCCAACCAGCTGGGTGAGTGCAGGGCTGGGGGTGCTGGGTGAGTGCACTGGGTCAGGGCACGGGGGTGCTGGCCTTGTGGTGGAGGGCAGGGAAACTGACCGGTCAACCCTCCCTCCTTCTGTGTCCCCCGGGGCTCTGTTTCACTTACTAAACTTCTCTGCCCTTCCTCTGAATTCATCAATATATATATATTTTTGGCCCTTGCCCCCTACTGGGTGCTATGATGGGTGTGAGAGTATAAGGGAAGGGTCCTGCCTTCAGGGAACAGTAGAGGGGGGGCTGGATAGGAAAGAGAATATCATCATAAAACATTTCATTTCCCCCACCTTCCATTATCAGGTACCAGGTAAAGGGTACCAAAAAATGCAGACTTCTATAGGAGGTCAGTGGATGGGGAGCCCCCTGATTGTGCTCAGGAAAGCTGTGTGGAGGAGGGACACTTCAGTTGGCCTTGAACAATGGATAGCCTTTGACTAAGCAGAGAGGGTGGGAGGGGTTCCCCTGTAGAGAGACCAAAGGTGTGGAGGTGGGGCCCCATAGGCCAGTTAGGAGTTCAGGGGTTGTAGAGGATTGTGGGGGGAGCTAGAGGCAGGAGAGGTAGTTTGCTGGTTGACAATGAAGGTCCTTCATTGGAAGGTGCAGAGTGAAGGAGTTTGGGCTCCATCCTGTCCTCGCTGGGGAGTGGTCCTGGGGTTTGAGCAGAGAGTGAAGAAATGGAAGGAGAATTTGAGGGAGGCATACAGCCAGTGGCCTGCACATCCCAGGGGTGGTGGGCCCTCTTCAGAAGGTGGGTCCCTGCTTCCCGGCTCTGACCCAGCCACTGTGCCCAGCCTCTGTGAACCCCTCCTTGGTGAAGGTGCACATTCACCACCCGCCGGAGGCCTCTGTGCAGGTCCACCAGGTGGCACGGGTGCGGGGCGAAGCCCCGGAGGAGAACAGCGTGGAGACCAGACCCTCGCTCCGGCTCCCCGCCAGCCCCCGCCACAGCCACTGGGACAGCAACAGCATTCCCACCCGGGCTGGAGAGGCCCCTCAGCCACCGCCCCCGGTAGCACCCAGGCCTCCGGGGCTGCTGGGCCGCTGTTATCTGAGCTCTGTGAATGGACAGGTGAGATTGCATCCCCTGCCTCAGCCCAGAGGGCTTCTAGAATAGTCACTGCCCTTCATTCTGCCCCTTCTCCTTCCCCATCTCCTCCTCGTCCTATGGAACGGATGTCTGCAGTCTTCTATTCCTCATACGGGAAAGATCAGAGCATAAAATGGCCTGAGTGAGGAGAGGGCTCCTTACTACCTGGGCTCTACTGGACACTTGTCAGTGCCAGGCATGCTGAAGAGGACTCAAAAGAGCCCCCCCTCTGGAAGGGCATCGGCATCCTCTGCTCCCAGTAAATCCGGGCGTCTCCTGGAGCCGAGCCCAGGGCTCCGGGTGCATGAACAGTAGGTCTGTTACATCAGACAAGAAAGAGTTTGGTATTCAGTTGAGATTAGGGCCACAGAGATAGGGAATTAGAAAAGGCAGGTTAAATCCTAAAGCCTTAGGAGTAAAAGATGAAAGTCATCCCCCCCCCCGAAGGCATCCATAGTCAGTGATGGGAAATCAGGTGAGTTTTTCTGAGTCCAAGCATCTAACACTATGGGCCAAGCCAGACTCAGGATGGTTTTTGTTGGGGTTGCATTTTGGTGTTTCCAGAAATCTCTCCTAAAGTTAGGGAACTGGAGGAGGTAGGGAGCAGCCAAGGGATAGACTCTGAGTCCCCAGATCCTCCTTGGCCTCTCAACTTGTAGTGTCCCTGAGCCTAGACCCTATTCATGGGGAAGGCCTGCATGGTGAGTGACCCCTATAGCTCCCTGGAGTTTGATGGAGGAAAGCCATCTGTGGGGTGGGGACATGGAAGGGGGTGGTTTGCAGACCTGCACAGAGTGGATCTTTTCTGCTCTGGTGTGTGCCCTGCCCCCAGGTTTAGGGTTTGGTGGATGGACTGCAGGTTTCTCTGTTCCCTTCCAGGACATCACCTGACTCTCTTCTCTCCTCCCTTGGGTGGAGGCAGCCCGTAGCAGGACATTGGGGTTGAGGTCCTGTCTCAGGTTTTCCGGGAACATCTCTGTGCATGGGAGGGGAGGGTTTGACAGGAGTCCATGGCCTCTTTTCCAGTGTGCCAACCCCTTGCTGGAGCTCACTGCCCAAGAGGATTGCTGCGGCAGCGTGGGCGCCTTCTGGGGGGTGACCTCATGTGCCCCATGTCCACCCAGACCAGGTGAGTGCTAGGTGCCAGGGTCTAGGGTGAAGCTTTCCCAAGGCCTGGCCTTCACATCATCTCCCATCAGGGTCTCAGAGGCTGGACAGGTAGAACAGGCTGGTAAACTGGGTGGGCTTTCCAGAGCTGCCCTGAGGGTGCTTCTGGCTGGTGGCTGAGGCCTGACAGCTCAGATAGCTCAGGCCCACTTGCAGCCCGGACTACCTGCTATGTCTGATTGCCTGGGAGGGGTTCCTCCCTCTTGCTAGTTGTTCTCAGATTTTAGGGATCCTGTCCCATGCTGGCCCCCTTCTACCTGGGGGCTCAGTGGTCTTGATTTAGTGACTTAGTGTTTCCCTCATTCTTTCGCTGAAAGGGCCCCCAGGCCTCCTCCTCACCTCCTCATTTCCCGTTTCCAACTCAGGGTTGAGTGTCTGTCCCAGAATGTCCTCTGCCTTGGGATATGGGCAACCCAGTTCCCCGCCCTCTTTTGGATGGTGGGAAAACCTAACCTGTATTCATTCATTCGATTGTTCGTTCATTTATTCAGCAAATACTTACCAGGTGCCTGTGTGCGCAAAACACGGAGGATGTTAGAGTCAGCAAAATGCCTATTCATAGACGCCTACCTTACAGCTGGGTGGTGAGGGGCCTGTGCCTGAGTACGGCTTCAGCCCCCTCAGCCTGTCTTCTCCCCCAGGCCCCACTCCTGGGCCCAGGCCCAGGCCTGGCATGTATTTCTTTTGCCTGTCAACAACTGACTTGGTGGGTTGGCTCTGTAGGGGGCCTGGCCCAGAGCCTAAAGGTGGGAGGGACAGGGCTGTTCCTAACTTCAGACTTGGTGTGGGGCAGTGACCGAATTTTCCAAATTGAAAATAATTATGGATGGTTTTGGAGTGTGATGGAACTTTTGGGGAAGCGGCAGAGGGTAGCATTAAGCATCCAGCCTCAAGCACGCAGCAGATTGCAGGTACCAGTCCCAGCTCTGGTGACTGGCCTCTTCCCTGCGCCGGCTCCAATCTGCACAATGGAGGCACTAGTAGTGCCAGTAGGACTGCTGTGGAGTAGATGATGCATGTCCTTAGCATTAGGTCAGTGAGCAGTAGTTGTTGTTATAATTATTAAAAAGTATCCCTCTAGAACAGGAAAAGGGAATGGACCCACTGGCTCATGGCTGGGGTAGGGGGTGGGGCAGGGGCAAGGCCTTGAACTGCTCAGCATCTCCCCCTGCAGGTCAGAGATGTTTTCAGCACTTTTCCTCTCCACCCCCTCTCCCACCCCCTCTCCCACCCCCTCCCACCCCGACTCCCCGCTCCAGCTCAATTCTGTTCCTTCTAGTTAGGTCCACCCTTGAGATTTCCATATCCCACATTCCATTCAGTCAACAGATATTTACATTAATGAAGCACCCTAAGTGAAGTGCCCCTAAGTGTGCAAGCCCTGGAAAGACAGTGGAGAATGAGGCAGAAGCAGTGCCTCCTTTCTCCAAGCTTACAGTCTGAGGTGTGGGGGGGCATAAACAGGTAGCACTAACCAGACAAATGTCACATGCTGTGGGAACACAGACAGCAGAACTGGGACCACGGATAGGTCCTATAGCACCTTTGTACAAATTAGAGAAAGGTTCTACTTCCATTTGTTCAAAACGGTCTTTACAAATACAAATCTAGGATGCCAGTGATTCTCGTAGATGTGGTGCTTTTGTGCAGTGCACAACCTTCACCTCCGTTCCCGGCACAGCAGGGGATCCTAACTCAAACTCGTGGCTCAGGCAGAGCTTCTTATAGGAGGTGACATCCAGGATGAGAGATGAAGAATTATTAGAGTAGGCCAATAAGACAGGAAAGAGCTTAACAACCCAAGGAAATTGCATAGGCAGGTGAGACCAAGAGAGTGAGGAACAGTTCCTAGAGCACAGCACACCCAAGTGTGTGCCCTCACCTCCTCCCTGGCCCAGTGAGTGCCTCCCACCCCCTTCCCCCACTGCATGCAGCACATCTCAGCAAGCTGGGCACCAGGGTGCAAACCCTGGAATGTCAAGCATTCCAACACACCAAGCAAGAAATAACAAAGACCAGGGAATGCAAACATTTAAAACACATTAAAGTGCAGCTGGGCATTGTATAGAAGCAGGCTAAGACTGAGGAGCCCTGTTTGTGTTGACAGGGTGCCAGACACCTAGCTCCACGCCTGAGCCTGGGGCTGCGGGTGGGGGATGTTTCTCTAAGTAGGCATGACTAGCAGACTACCATGCAAGAGACAGAAGAAGAAAGGGTGAGCTGCTGGAGGGGGTTTGGGAATGGTTGGCAAGATAGGCAGGGCTTCTGGGTTCTAGAACATTCCTGGGCCTGGTGGCTTTGCCCCTTTGAGCCTCTATTTCTCTTCTGATGCAATGAGGCTGTGTCCCTCAGGGAAGGACTTTGCCATTCCTCAATTCATCTAGCAGGATCAGGGGGTGAGAGGGGTAATAAAGCCAACAGCCAGGGAGCTATGGGACTTCGTGGCTTCCCCTAAGTCACCTCTGGGCTTCTGAGGCCCCATGCTGGACTGTCATAGAAGGCTCCTGCAGAATGATGCTATTTCTCATGAGGAAAAGGATTCTCTCAAAGGCTTCTTTACATGACACAGACAAATCCCTTTTCTTCCTGGGAAAAATTCCTCTTCCTCAGGGCAATGGCTCAGGGAGCCTATGATCCCCTCCCTTCTCCCTCCACTCTGAGTGACAGATACAGCTGACCTTCCAGGACCCAGCCCCAGCCACGTCTTCCTAACCCTTGGGAGTTTTCGAAGCTTCTGCTGTCCCTTGCTGGGTCCAAAGAGCACACAGCCCTCAAAAGCCACTTTGATTGAGGCCACATTTTGGAGTTTTAGTCTGAGAAAGACAGACATCTGGGTTAACTGGAAAGTTGGCCGCTGTCCCATCTGGCTTGGCACTGGCTATGTCAACGCCAAGGCCCTTCGCCGGGACAGGCGGGGCTGGCACTCTGCTCTCAGCCCGCAGTGGTGGGCTCCAGCTGTCCATCCGTCCATCCGCCTGGCATGGGATGAGTTCACCTCAAAACCCGAGCCCCTCCGTGTACCTCTGGGGACTGCTGATTCTCTGCTCCTTGAGGCAGTTCTGCATCTTTCCATCTTAAAAATAATAATAGCCACTGGATGCTGAACTTTTACACTATGCTGGACTCTTCACCTGCCTTATCTCACTAAATCGTTGAAACTACCTGCAAGCTAAGAGTCTTTATCCCCACTTGACGAATGAGGAGAATGAAGCTCAGAGAGGGCCAGGCAACTTGTCCGAGGTCACACAGCTAGGACAGGGGAGCAAGGCTTCAGACCACAGAGTGTCTGATTCCCAGCTGACCAAGATCTCCCTAATCATCGCGGGGAGAGTTGGTTCTACCCACAGACAGCAAAACTCAGGACGTTAGAGTAGGAGTTCACAGCCAGGAGGGGGCTGCCCAGGGTTGTATGTCGTGAGTCATTTGTGCCCAAAGGACATCCCTCAAGAAGATTGGGATTGAAGAGACAGGCAGGGAAGCTACCTGCAGCTCAGGCCTAAGAGTTCACGGAGATGCGTTGAAAGAATTGTCCCAGAGAGAAGCTGGTAGCTTCCTGTGGGTCTGGAGGGCTAAAGCCAATGTACGGATGTTTCTGGTGAGCATTGCTCAAGGAACGGCTTATTAAAAACTGCGGCTTATTGGGGGCACCAGGGTGGCTCAGTTGGTTGAGCATCCGGCTCTTGATTTCAGCTCAGGTCACAATCCCAGTGTTGTGAGATCAAGCCCCACATGAGATCAAGCCCCACATCAGTCTCCATGCTCAGCATGGAGCCTGCTTGAGATTCTCTCTCTCTTTCCCCCTGCCCCTCTCCCCAGCTTGTGGGCATGCTCTCTCTCTCTCAAAAACAAAAACAAAAAAAAAGCACAAAAACCAAAAACTGTAGCTTATCAAAACCCAATGATATAATGGGGTGTGCCCAGAGGTACTTAGCTCCCTGCTGCAGAGAGTTTGCTGCTAAGAACAGGTTCATAGAAGGAGTTGGGAAAAGAAATTTATTTTTGAAAGAGTGGAGGTTTATATATGTGTCTGCAAATATATTTGAAACCCTCAGTAGAGAGAAAGCTTTGATTTGCCTTCGTTTTACCAGGGCCCTTGCCCACAGGGACCGCTTCAGGTGAGGCCAGGCCCTGGGGAGGGTGGGTGTGTGAGGGGATACAAGCAACTGGCAGGATTTGAGGCAGAGAGTGCCACAGAGCAAGTCACAGCAGCAAAGTCGTTATCATCACCATCATTGTTAGCAACCGTTTCTTCAGAGCACTTAATAAGTGCCAGGCACCTCGCTGAGTGCTTCCTCATTCCCCTGCACCCTAACCACATCTCTGGGAGCTGGGTGCGACCGTCTTCATTTTACAGAAGAGGAAATTGTGTCCATGTGACCTGAGACCCCTGCCCCTAAGCAGCTGTAACCTTCCTTCTATATGGCTTCTTGTGCACTTGGCTTGGAGAATTTGCTCAGGCGGAGGACCCCGGCTTAGGGAGCAGCTGTGCTGGGGTGGGGCTCCTGTTCTCTGGGACTCTGGGTGAGACGCCCAGTCTCTTGCCCTAAAGAAATGGGTTGTTGTTTTTTTTTCCAGAATTCCAGTTGTTGGGCTGAAGAAAAAGCTGTGTTTCTTTGGCTCAGGGATGTTCTGAAATCTTCTTCCAAGGGACTTGAGGCCTCCTGGGAACTGTGCCTCAGATCAAGTTAGCGCCCTCCTTACCCCAGATCAGTGTCACCAACACGTGGCATCTCTGGCCTGGAGAGGTCCGGGGGGGGGCTGCGGTGGGGCTGGCTGGAGTGGCACCTCTCTGGGCCAAGGGTCTGACCAGACCCCTCTCTACCTTGCTGCTTGTGGTAACCAAGACACCCACTTTGGCTCTGGTGCTGCCCCAAGGAAGCAGTCAGAGCTCAACTTTGGGTGGAATTTCCACAATCCTTGAGGGGGTCCATTAGGACTTCACCAAGCAGAAAATCTGGAATA